TGCGTCACAAACATTTTATTTCTCTCAACACGCAACTTAAACTTCAGAAATCTTCACATGTATCACTGTGCTACTTTTGTTTTCAAACATTACGCAGGACTGCTACCCAAAGTTTTTTGTGATTATTATAATTTTGTTTTGACAAATAGGCACAGAAACATAATTCGTTGCAATAAATCGAAAACAAACATTTTATTTTTTCATATTTTATGCAACGGACCACGGATATGGAATAATTTTATAATTAATTTTGATTTAAATTCTGTTTTATATACAAAAGTGCAGGCAACATTTAGAAAAAAACTGAAAAATATTTTACTGAACGCTTCAGTATAATCATCTAATGTATTCATCATTCACACTCATTCATACTCTTTCACATTCTTTCACACTCATTCACATTTATTCATACATACTTGTAATCATTGACACATCAAACATACTAACTCATCTCGTCTCATGATTGATATTATTAATTAGAAATTTCTTGTAAAGGTGGCTGTGCTCGATGAGTCACATGCGGACTCCTCACGGTCATCCTGTATCTTAATTTTATGTTTTTTTGAGGTCAAATAAAAAATATATTGTTGAGAGAGATGATGATGTGGGTGAGTGATATTGAGAGATGGTGAAGGATTAGAGGAGTGCTAGCTGGCCATTGTTTCGAAAGTTTTGCTGCTGCCAACTGTGAATCACGAAGAGAAATTCTTCATAATTTTATTTGTATTATTTGCCGTGAGTAATATTGTAGTTAAATTAATAACAACTATAACAATAATAAAAATAAACAAAAAATAACGAATTTTTATTATTGGCTAGTTTAATATTGAGAAATTTAATGCGCATAAACATATTTTCGTGCTCACACTTAGCACACAAAATCACACACACACAGATTACAGGTCCGAAAAAATTAATATATTACACGTTCTTCACACGCTTCCAATGATCAGAGTTAATAACGATTTCATATTAGAGAATTTTGACATCTTCGTATCTTAACGTACAACACACGCACGCACGCAACTTGACCAATAGAACTGAGTAATACATAAATCACCTCAGTACTTCTACTCAGTGAATGCAACAGTACACAGCAATATTATATTATTGTTTTCATCTATAATGTTCTTCTGAGTTTTGGTAGGGCGCTCAAGAACCTTTTATTGGTTTACGATCGTCTTCCTGTTCTCACTTCTTCCTAACTCGTGTCACTCTTTTGCAAAATCTACGTTTGCTTTTTCTGGAACTCTCTACCTCCTTCTCTGACTACTCCTCCCATCATTTATGTTTGAAAAATTCATTGAGAAGCGCAGTTAAACATCGCGGAAATAGCGCTTTATAAACTAATTAATTGATTTTTTGGAAAATGGGAACTTTTCAATTTTACAAAATATGAAACATTGAGTTTTTTTTAATTTTTTATTGTATTTATGGACGATGGCAAGAACAAATCACACCAGTTCAGTAAATGCAAATCAATGAAGTGAAGAGATGAAATTCTTAATGAGAGGTTTTTATTTAGCATCATTATGGGATCCAGGTCTGTCAGAATTCATAGCTTGATCACATCCACACCACTGATCTGATCTGTCTTCGCTTTCGTCATGTAGTCAAAAGGTTTACTTAGACCTGCAGACAAATAAAAAAGACGTATAATAATTTGTAATATTCTAAATTATGTCAATTATCAAATTAATACAAGGGCACCAGAACTTATTAAATAAAACAACTTACGTAAATAAAACAAAGAGACCATAAATTTATTTTTTATTTACCTAAGCCTCGCACAAACTTTATCATTAATTCAATATCAATTCGTTTTTTTACTATGCTTAATATCTTTGGAAGCCGTTGAAGCAACCATTTTCTTTTTCCTGTTTACTTTGAAAGAAGTAGTTATTTTATTTACGGCGTGGTTTATCATCGAGGTAAAAAATATTGAATTTGATCCACTGGTAGATGTAATTTATAAAGAATTTTTGATTAAATTGATGCTGTCCAAAATCAAAAACGTTTCTTTAAAAGCACAAGAAAATTCTAAAAGTGAAATTTGGAAAAATTTTAGCAGAATTTATTTTAAAAACGTAGCTACATCAATTATCTGTTGTAACAAATGTGAAGCCAAATGCTTTTGACATCGCCATGTTTTATAATATTGTTATAACCGTGCTACCGAACGCACTAGATTCTAGCGTATTCTAGAATGTACTAGTGACTGGAGCATTCTAGAGTATGCTAGAATCGGACTATCTAGAAGAATCTAGAAACGACGCTTGCGATGAGTATATAAGCGCACGTCGCAAGAAGATTCGTGATTAGTGAAATTCGTGAATAGCGATTCGGTGAATTATTTAAAGCGATATTTGACTTGTTTGTTGACGTTGTCATAGCGATAGATTTTAAACAATTTAAAAGTTAGCTGTTGCGTTAATTTGAATTTGCTAGAAATAAACGATTAGTTGATTTCTTCTGTAAATAAATTTTAATAACTAATAACTGTTTGGAGTATATAATCGAAGATTTGAACCCGTCGCATCGTAAATCGATTACAAGAACGAGTATTATAACATTGGTGTCAGAAGTGGGATCTTCGACCAACGAATTACTACTCATAGAAAAAGAACACGATCGATTTTCAGCAGTAGCTGGAGATAAAATATTTATACCCAAATAATCTGTCGGGTCCTAATGACTATATTAAGCATAATCATTGAATTACCCATATTAGCTGGGATTTGTCTGTTCAACGAATAAAACCTGTTTCGTAGACGGGATTCACTGTCTTCCCTTGGAGGGGAAAATAGCTTTAAACTCAGTTTTTCAAGAATTTGATATATCTTGGAAAGTAGAACTCAGTGAAGGACCGAATTTCCTAGATGACATCAAACGAACCAAACGATCTTCGATTGTATATTGTCCAGTGTTAGCAGTTCCATGGTTTGGGGTAGGTGGAGCAAAGTGTGATATCAGTGGTGCTTTGAAAGAAGCGTTTCATCAAAAGATATCTAGCCTTAGCACTGCATTTGGTTGTATAGCCAACATGTTCAACAACTCCATAAAAGTAATGGAGGATGGTAGCATGGTGCACAACTCTACAATAATTGGAGACAATATTATTTTCAGAATGATGGATCTTCAGCAGTAGCTCGAGATAAAATATTTATACCCAAATAATCTGTCAGGTCCTAATGACTATATTAAGCATAATCATTGAATTACCCATATTAGCTGGGATTTGTCTGTTCAACGAATAAAACCTGTTTCAAATAACGTAGAACAATGCTTCAGCCAATTAACGATTAAACTACATCGAACTGCTCGGAACTTAATAGTAAATATAGTGTAAAAGACGTTATGAATAAACATGTGATAAAGCAAGTAACTATGAACAAAATGGACTTTGATGGATTTTCAGCAGTAGCTGGAGATAAAATATTTATACCCAAATAATCTGTCGGGTCCTAATGACTATATTAAGCATAATCATTGAATTACCCATATTAGCTGGGATTTGTCTGTTCAACGAATAAAACCTGTTTCAAATAACGTAGAACAATGCTTCAGCCAATTAACGATTAAACTACATCGAACTGCTCGGAACTTAATAGTAAATATAGTGTAAAAGACGTTATGAATAAACATGTGATAAAGCAAGTAACTATGAACAAAATGGACTTTGATGATTTTCAGCAGTAGCTGGAGATAAAATATTTATACCCAAATAATCTGTCGGGTCCTAATGACTATATTAAGCATAATCATTGAATTACCCATATTAGCTGGGATTTGTCTGTTCAACGAATAAAACCTGTTTCAAATAACGTAGAACAATATTTCAGCCAATTAACGATTAAACTACATCGAACTGCTCGGAACTCAATAGTAAATATAGTGTAAAAGACTTTATGAATAAACATGTGATAAAGCAAGTAACTATGAACAAAATGGACTTTGATGGATTTTCAGCAGTAGCTGGAGATAAAATATTTATACCCAAATAATCTGTCAGGTCCTAATGACTATATTAAGCATAATCATTGAATTACCCATATTAGCTGGGGTTTGTCTGTTCAACGAATAAAACCTGTTTCAAATAACGTAGAACAATGCTTCAGCCAATGAACGATTAAACTACATCGAACTGCTCGGAACTTAATAGTAAAGATAGTGTAAAAGACTTTATGAATAAACATGTGATAAAGCAAGTTACTACGAACAAAATGGACTTTGATGGATTTTCAGCAGTAGCTGGAGATAAAATATTTATACCCAAATAATCTGTCGGGTCCTAATGACTATATTAAGCATAATCATTGAATTACCCATATTAGCTGGGATTTGTCTGTTCAACGAATAAAACCTGTTTCGTAGACGGGATTCACTGTCTTCCCTTGGAGGGGAAAATAGCTTTAAACTCAGTTTTTCAAGAATTTGATATATCTTGGAAAGTAGAACTCAGTGAAGGACCGAATTTCCTAGATGACATCAAACGAACCAAACGATCTTTGGGAGAGATACAGTGTGTTGGCGACGGCAGATAAAGTATGCGCTACAAATATAAAATGTGTTATTCGTAAATCTTGAATGTGTTGTTAGGTGGTGAAACGTTGTTTTGCTTTGTTTTTTTGATAATTTTTTTTTTGCAATCATTTTAAAATTAAATTTTGATTTTTAAAAAAGGACAAATTTTGAATCGCTTGTGTTTTTTTAAAAAAAAGAGGTAGGATATTTTTGTTTTCAAATTTTTATTACTACATTATTCTTATTTAAGGATAAATCATCATATCATTAGTCTGGTTTATGAAAATCTGATTTTTTGCCCTAAATCTTGATGTTCCATTTTTGGAACATGGCCACATAAACATCCACTGAATAATATATATTTTAACATTGTTATTTGTGACTAAATGGATTTGATATATGTTGAATGAATTGATTTGTAATTGATAGTTTGAAATAATTTGAATTAGTTTCTTTTTTTTATCAAACTACATAAACATAATATATTAAAGTTCAGAATCAGAAGAATGTAAAGACATTTTATGGCTCAAAAGCAAAAAAGGTCATTGCTGCATCAACTTTGAATGAGCTATTAGATACCATCACAGCTCAGCCAATTAACGATTAAACTGAAGCAGAATCTATAAATGGTTAGTAATAGTTTTCGGCGCTGTGGTTGCTCTACTGTGTACTGCTTTTAATAATGAACTAATTTATGCCTACGTTATTATATTTATATTTTTATGCTTCACACATAAACCTATATGTGTGAAGCATAATATGTTTTATGTTTCAGATTAACAAGCTGAAGATTTTTTATTTGTGGTCGAAATGGGTCGAAAAAGAGTTGTTGAAAGAAAAAAAGGAGCAGTGTTATCAGAATCTACGAATAGGTCAATGATAGATTATATATTGATAAGGGCGAAGTGGTCAATCTTCTTTCGACTTACCTGGGTACTGAGCCCAGAATAACAGTGAAGAGAGGGTTTATTATCAAAATCAAAATGTTTAACAACTTGTTCTCCACAGAGAATTTCGTAACAAGAGCTTTGGAATCAGTGGGCCATTTATTCCCAGAACGGTCTCGAGAACAATACAGATGGTATTTACATTCCATGACTTGCGTTCGATTCTACAATGAAAAGAGCAAACTAGGATCGAGCAAATATTGCCTCCTTGAAGGCTTAGATAGACAGACTGCACTAGCTGAAGGAAGATACCTGTCAAGTCGACCAATGGATCCAATTCCTGACTTAATTAGAGGTTAAATATTTTTATCTCGAGCTACTGTTGAAAATCCATCAAAGTCCATTACCCATTACTGACTTAATTAGGAAAGGCATTAGAAAAGTGGGAGACTTGCAATACCATACAGTATCTGGAGATGACACAGTTGGATTCACAGTAGATAAACTACCCTATGCAATTGAAATCGGATTGTCATACAGCAACGTTCAATTGACACTGGAGAGAAAAATATCACCTGTAAGAGACGATCATAAACGGCTGTTCTTGATTTTTGCCCATGACGGATCTGATTTCATACATCATCCAACTGATCATGAAATAGATCAAGATCAAGTAAACTTCTGCTTGCAGTTCCTAAAAGAACAGTATCTGAAATTAGACCAGCTCCAAGTAATATTACTTTAATTGTATCTCCTCCATCAAAAAGGGGGAAACCCCTGAACTTCAAGAAAAGGACCTTTCAATAGGTCAATTTGTAGAGGAATATGAAAAATTACTATTGCCAAATGTAGCTAAGCCAGCAGTTTGGAAAAGTTTTGCAATTGCGGAATTAGTGACAGTCACTGTAGAACCTGGAGAAGCAGGAGTGAAAGAAATATTGGACAAAACAGACTTTGTTGTCAAAATACCTAAGTTCATTATCGAATGACAGCGAGATCAGGAACAATGTAGTACAAACTCACACGTCATCAACAGCATTTATAGCTTCGTTAGGTAGAACTCAATGCAATTGGGTAATCTCTTTCTGTGACAATTTCAACAACTGTCTGGTTAGTGATTGCAACAACTTCAATGGGATAGAGATGATTTACTTATATATATCTAGACAAATTTATGTAAAATAAATAATAATTTTGTAAATCTTTTGTACCAATTAGAATGCATTCAATTGGTTGTGTTGTGCATGAAGATGCCGATTGGCACTTCATACATTTTGGTCATTTATTCTTCTTTAATTGAAAAACAATTTTAAAAAACAATTTTTCCATAACGGGAAATCTAATACCAATACAAAAATATATTTTTAGTATTAATTGAAACACATTTTTTTAATTCATGCAGTAGAGGGTTAATGAAGGCCAAATATCAGATGGGGAAAAATGTGGGTGCCAATGAAGGTTGGATTTTTGGAAGAATCCAATGTGGTACATAGCTTTGTTTTGCGGAAGAAGTCGTGGCCCGGGATTCACAAACGTTGTTGCCGTTGATATAAAAGTGGATTGCTCCTGGCATAACCATCGTGTCAGATGAGTGGCGTGCCTATAGCCAGCTGAGAAATATGGGCTACACTCATTTGACAGTCAACCACTCCCAAAATTTTGTTGACTCAATGACAGGAGCACACATACAAAACGTTGAATCCATGTGCCGTTGATATAAAAGTGGATTGCTCCTGGCACAACCAACGTGTCAGATGAGTGGCGTGCCTATAGCCAGCTGAGAAATATGGGCTAGACTCATTTGACAGTCAACCACTCCCAAAATTTTGTTGACGCAATGACAGGAGCACGTTGAATCCATGTGGGCACGATTGAAAGCCAAATTCAAAGTAATGTACAGAAAGTCAAAGAGCCTGAGGCACACTTACATGGCAGAATTTATGTGGTGCAAACGGTTAAGCAAACAACCGTTCAGTAATATTATTAGGCTCATACGCCAAAAACACAATATTTGTTAAATTATTTGAATTATTACTAATTAATTATTTTTAATTTTATATTGATTATATGTTGCCCAGTGTTTTAAACAGTTTTATATACTAACTTTTGCAATTTTTTTTACTTGGTATAATTTCCTCATTTTTGGAAGAATCCAATGTGGTACATAGCTTTGTTTTGCGC